AGTCTGATGCTAAGAATACTACAGAGTGGCATGTTTATCAAGTCTTTAGATGGATGGATGTATAGTCAAATGGTTCAAAGCTTACATAGCTAATAAGGAGAAATCAGAATTCAAATCTGGATTGTTTTGTTCCAAAAACTATATATTTACTACCATCATTCTATTTCTGCTCCTGTAAGATAAATATAAGATATAAGAAAAGGAAGGACATGATCCAAAGGACATAAGCACAAGAATGTCTTTATTTATAGCAGCATTCTCTAGGGATGTGCTTTCCATATGGCAGAGTTACTTGTCTTGGAGCCAGTTTCTCCATATCCCTTTGGGAGGCCAGGATGCCTGTAATATCCCATATTTGGCTAAGGCTGATGGCAGGACACTGAGCAGAAGATCCAAATGAAAGCTGTGTCACACAGATCTGTTTAAACACAGAGCATCATATATTTTATAGGCCATGGTATCCACAGATCATTCTGGCAATCTCAGATTCTTATGACTTGCTTTTTTAAATTTTTTTAAACATTGCTCTCTGAATTTAACGTAGAAAAAGTTACAACCTACGGCATGAGACAATGTCCAAATGTAAGCAAGCAATGTGATTAACTGAATGCCCCAAATATGCAGTGTATATATATTTCTCAGGAAAGGAAAGCAATAAATGCATGTATTTTATTGTATATACTCATCATTCTCACAAAAGTTTTATAGTAAGATATACCAATGTGTGAGGTATTATAGGAAAAGAATCTTTGTTTTGTAGTCAGTAAATATCATCACTTAATCGGAACAGATTACACTTCTAAAATACCCTTCTTACCCCAGATCTCCTTAGTTTGGTGATAAATACCATAAAAATTTTATTTAATTTGTAGACTTATAAGTTCGGGGCACCTTAAATACAGCCTAAGGAGAAGAATATTATTTTGAGGTCCATGCCTCTCCAAGGGGGAGGCGTCATCCTTGGTTGGGATTTAGCTTAATTTCGTACAACTTAAAACAGTAATTAGCCCCTCCCCCTACCAATTCTCAAAGGGAATTATGTCTCCTGCAAAAGTTTGCAAGCTACTGATCTATGATGTCATGATTTATGGAGCATACATAGTTTCATGCAGTGGCCAGTCCTATGTACAAAATAACATTGAAATGATCTATGCCTTTAAGGTGTTTGCAACTGATTTGATGGAGAAAAAAAGGATATATGAAGTAGTAATGAAAGAGGGAGGTGGTAATTCCTACAGTAGGTACATTCTGTGGAGCTCAGAAGAGGTCTCAACAAAGATCTTCAGGGGAATGGAGTGGCCAGGGCAACGTTACTGAGGTGGATTAAGACTGAGTGGGGAATCACTTTACTATTTGACTTTTGCTGAAATGGATGTGGTTTGAAGTAATGCATTACTAATAATAAGAAAATGACTTCTTTACCTATTTAATGATTAAAAAGATCTCTTTGTTTCCAAATCAGAAATGAGGGGCTGCCCCCTGCAGACACTCCAATGTGCCAGGTCCACTCCCTCTATGCCGTTTCCCTCTGGCACAAAAGGAATGAGCACATGTTTATAGCATTTACTCTTCAACAGCAAAGAGAAGTTCTTATTTGCCCTTTAATAGGCCCTTCATGAGAATGGACAGGCTGCAGAGTCAACAGAGATCAAAGAAGATATTCACTACTTTGGATCTTGAACTTAGCCCAGAACCCCTATAACCCAATCACCAAGGGAATGTAATGTGTGGTCAATAACAAGCAAAGGCTCTACAGTGAGATGAGCTCCATTTAAAACTCAGTTCATTTTTGTTCCTTTGGGTAAATACCCAGTAGTGGGATTGCTGGATCAAATGGTAGTTCTACTTTTAGTTCTTTGAGGTATCTCCATATTGCTTTCTGTAAAGGTTGTACTAGTTTAAAGTCCTACCAGCAGTGTATGAGTGTTTCTATCTCTCCACATCTGTGCCAGCATTTGTTATTTTGCAACTTTTTGATAAAAGCCATTCTCACTGGAGTTAAATGATATCTCATTGTGGTTTTGATTTGCATTTCCCTGATGATTAGAGACACTGAGCATTGTTTCATATGTTTCTTGACCATTAGTCTTTCTTCTTTTGAAATGTTTCTGTTCATGTCCTTTGCCCACTTTTTAATGGGGTTGTTTGATTTTTTTTTTTTTTTTTGCTGATTTTCCTGAATTCTGTATAGATTTATCGATGAATAGCATGCAAATATTTTCTCCCATTCTGCAGGTTATCTATTCACTCTAATGATAGTTCCCTTGGCTATGCAAAAGCTTTTTAATTTGATCAGGTCCCATTTATTTATTTTTATTGTTGCTGTGATTGCTTTTGGGGTCTTCATAAATTCTTTGCCTAGGCTGGTGTCTATAAGAGTTTTTCCAACACTTTCTTCTATAATTTTTATAGTTTCATGCCTTAGATTTAAGTCTATTATCCATCATAAGGTGATTTTTGTGAGTGGTAAGAGATGTGGATCCTGTTTCAGTCTTCTACATGTGGCTATCCAATTCTCCCAGCACCATTTATTAAATAGGGATTCTTTTCCCCAGTGTATATTTTTGGCTGCTTTGTCAAAGATCAGATGGCTATATGAGGATGGTTTTATATCTGGGTTCTCATCCTCTTCCATTGGACTATGTCTCTGTTCTTGTGCCAGAACCATGCTCTTTTGGTTACTCTAGCTTTCTAGTATAGCTTGAAGTCTGGTAAATTGATGCCTCCCAATTTGTTCTTTTTGCTTAAGGTTGTTTTGTCTATACAGGTAGGGTCTTCTCTGGTTCCATGTGAAGCACAGAATTATTTTTTCTAGATCTGCATAAAATGATGTTGGTATTTTAATAGGGATTGCATTGACTCTGCAGATCACTTTGAGTAGTATAGATGTTTTAACAATGTTGATTCTGCCAACCCATGAGCATCGTATCGTTTTCCATCTGTTTATGTCCTCTGCTATTTCCTTCCTCAGTGTTTTGTTGTTCTCCCTGTAGAGGTGATCCTTAGTTAAAATACCTAGTAGTGATCGTAAGTATTTTATTTTCTTTGTTGCTATTGTGAAAGGTATTGAGTCTTTGATTTGGTTCTTAGCTTGACTATTGTTGGTGTATATGAATGCTACTAATTTGTGTATGTTGATTTTGTAACCTGAGACTTTGCTGAATTTATTTATCAATTCCAATAGTCTCTTGGCAGAATCTTTGGAGTTTTCTAGATATAAGATCATATCAGCAGCAAAGAACAATAGTTTGACCTCTTCTTCCCCCATTTGGATACACTTGATTTCCTTTTCTTGTCTGATTGCTCTGGCTAGGACTTCTAGCACTATGTTGAATAGAAGCAGTGATAGAGGGCAGCCTTGTCTGATTCCAGTTCTAAGCGAGAATGCTTTCAGTTTTTCCCTGTTCAGTATGATGTTGGCTGTGGGTTTGTCATATATGGCTTTTGTCATTTTGAGGTAAGTCCCATCTATGCCTATTTTGTTAAGCATTCTTATAAAAGGGTGCTGAATTTTGTCAAATGCTTTTCCTGCATCTATTGAGAAGATCATATGGTCTTTGTTTTTACTTCTATTTATGTGATGAATTACATTTGTAGATTTGCATATGTCAAACCATTCCTGTATCTCTGTGATGTAGCCCACTTGGTCATGATGGATTATTCTTTTGATGAGTAGCAGAACTTGGTTTGCTAGGATTTTATTGGGGATTTTTGCATCTACATTCACAAGGGATATTGGTCTGTAGTTTTCTTTTTTGGTTGAATCCTTTCATGGCCTTGGTATCAAGGTAATATTGGCTTCATAAAATGTGTTGGGGAGGAGTCCTTCCTTCTCAGTGTTGTGGAATAATTTCTGCAGGATAAGTATCAGTTCATTCTATAAAAAGGACATCTGCACTCAAATGTTTATAGCAGCACAATTCACAATTGCAAAGGTGGGGAAACAACACACATGCCCATCAATACATGAGTGGATTAATAAAATGTGATATATGTATACCATGGAGTACTATTCAGCCATAAAAAAGTGGTGAACTACCTTTTTTGTTATCCTGGATGAAGTTGGAGCCCATTATTCTAAGTGAAGTATCACGAGAATGGAAAAACAAACACCACATGTACTCACCATTAAATTGGTACTAATCGATCAAAACTTATGTGCACATATGGAAGTAATATTCATTGGGGGTAGAACAGGTGAGAGGGAATAGGATGGGATGGGTAAACCCATATGTAACTCAGACAGTGCAAAGGCAATTTATGTAACCAAAGCATTTGTACCCCTGTAATATTCTGAAATAATATATATATATATATATAAAA